AAAAGTATTCCAGTTCTTCACCACTAGGGTTAGTGGTTGGTGCGTACATTTGAAGCACAGTCGTAGGACTTCACTGTGTGAAGACAGATATTAGCCTTTCACAGACAGCATTGTGCTTGGAGACTGGTCTTGAAGTGTCCTTGTGAGGATGAATGTCTGTCTCCCTCTGGCACTCGTCATTCCAGGCATAGTAAGCCATGTGACTTCCTGCTTCGACGTGGCCACTCCCAGTCATTGCATCTCACACCTGCCTAGAATATTGATGCTATGAGTTCATTTCATTGACGACAACTTCAAATGTTCCTAGATTCATACTTCATACACTCCAGGTTCCAATTATTGTTATTAGATCTATGCAACTGTTCCTCTTCCATTTTTAACCATGCTTCATCGACACATAGCGTTCCCAGAGGCTTTGCTCTGAAGGGCTTCGCTCCATCCATGCCATTCTGGCTGACCCCACCTGAGAAGGCAGCTCTTCCTCAGTCGTCTGCTGAGTGCTTTCAACCTGTGGGTGCATTTTTGTCACTCTCTCTGACAATCTTCTGCTGCTCTTCACGGGGCTTTCAGTGTCAGACAATGCTCGCCAGCAACCTCTCAGGGGCTCAGCGATTAGTCCCTCTGCAGCAGACCATTTATTCCTTCTTAGCTGTCTGTTCTTCGTCTGTGAGCTTTGCAGAGACCTGTGTACGTTGGGTGACCCTGCTGTTACTTGAAACACCAGTGACATAGCTTTAACCATCCCAGGAATTCACAGGCCACTACGGCTCGACAAACCAACCGACACGTGGTGGCAACCTGCACTCATAGACGAGCAGCTGATGATGTGTTTCCCAGCCAACCCTGGGACACGTTTTGGCTGCTTCTCCCGAACATCGCCATCGTCTCTGCCCACAGGTGTAGCCCATTTGATTTGCATGTATTCCGTCCGGTGAGGTCTTCATGTTCAATCACTGTTTATGTTGTTGAGAACATGATATTTACAATGAAATAAGTCGTTGGTCTTGCAAAACTCTATTATGCAACCGGAAGCCTGTCTCCATGGCTCTGGTTTCAACCACCGTCCCTGCCTCCGTGTTGCCAATATGTACATTCCAATTGCTAATAATTACTAGTGCATCTCGATTGCACGTTTGATTAATTTAAGATGGAAGAAATTGGCGGGATTCTTCATTGTCTTTATCGCTGGCTTTAGTGGATGATACCTAAATTTGAATAGTCATTCTAACGATAGATATTATCCTATCACAGATAGTGTTGAACTTCAAGATTGTGGTAGCCACCTAATCTAGTGTCAATTTGAGGATTATGTGTTGAGGGGTGGAGTCTAGCCTGTCAATCTGGAGTTAGCCAATGAGACTTCTGTGTGGGTATGGCCTTCTCCTGAGAATTCTGGGAAATCTGGTACTTCCTCCTTGGAGGCGGAAGACACCTCTCTCTCTCTGCCACTCCCTGGGAGACATTGCAGAAGACAAGCCACCTGGACACAACCAGACCTGGGAAACCAGAGGAGCCACAGAGAGACCCCTGCCAGCACTGAGATGCTTACAACGCCACTGGACCCAAAGACTTTCTACCCACTGGCCTGTGATCATCCTGCATTTGGCTTCATTGCACGTGTTTCACCAGTCTGAAGAGGACTTTATAGATTGCTATT